GCCCCCAAGACGCCGCCAAGGAGTTCCAAGAGACTCCCAAGAGGTCCCCAAGAGGCCCCCAAGAGGCCCTAAAGAGACCTTCAGGGCCGGCGGCATGAGCGAAGCGATTGAAAATATACACATAAATAAAAGGATTCCTAGTTTCCCTTATTTTATGGGTTTTTGTTTTCCCCCCCACCTCCCAGATGTTCCCACATTTTCTGGGGAAGCGACGATTCATTGTGTCTGTGCGCCTTTCTCCTCCTGTGTTTTGAAGGTCCTGGCCGCAAAACATAAGCGGCGTACTGCAGGTCCGTGCCGTGTCGACCCTGGCGTTGGTTCCTGACACCGCGCTGGATCGTTCAACCTTAAACGATCGGCCGTCTCCGCAACGTCCGATCGTTCAACCTTAAACGATCGGCCGCCGCCGGCGTTCAACCTTGAACGCACGCGCTGGGGTCGCCGCTGGTCGACACGACGCAAACCTACCGTAAGCAAAAACTTGCGTTGGGCGGTCCGCGCGGAGCTCTCGGATCTGCTCGCCGGACCCCCCTCCCTGGCGCGCGGAGCACGCCAGGAGCGGCGCCGGAGGCGCCGCTCTTGGGGGACCCAGCACAGATCCAAGAAACACGCGCGGAGCGTCGAAGATCCATGTTTATCGCGTTTTTTCTTTTTTGGGACGCACATGGACATACTAATACTATATGTCCTCCTTGGAGGCGCGCGTCCGACCCGAACATATAGTATACCCATCTTGTAGTATATCGTTTCCCGAGCGGTGTGGCCAGAAAGCGCCCGCCACGACGCATATACTATAAGATTTCTCGGTGCGCGCGTCGCCCCTGGGGGGGCGACGCACATATAGTATAAGTATGTTGGGATGTTGCCGATTTTTCGGGAGAATGCACACGTCCGAGCGACGCCGAGGGGACTGGTCGGGTGGGACGGGCGCGATTTCCGATCGACAGCACACAGCTTGCGAAAGGCCTGCCGCGGTCTGGCGCGGCGGGCCTTCCTGTGGAGAGAGAGGGGCGAGAGAGAAGGAGAGAGAGACAGAGACCGCTCCGAGGGGACAGGTGGAGCCAGAGCTGGACCTAAACGATGCATTTCGTTCTGGGTTCGTCTCGTGTTTCGCTGTGCTCCCCCTATCTTCCTGTTACCTCCCCCCAGAAACGTGACCTCCCCCTGTTACCTGCTTTCCTGTTACCTCCCCCTGCTTTCCTGTGACCTGAACGTTGCACTTCGTGCTGGGTTCGTCTCGCGTTTCGCTCTGCTCCCCCCTTGCTTTCCTGCTGCCTCCCCCCCCAGAACGACCACCTCCAGATCCTCCTCCTCCTCCTCCTCCTCCTCCTCCTCCTCCTCCTCCTCCTCCTCCTCCTCCTCCTCCTCCTCCTCCTCCCCCTCCTCCCCCTCCTCCTCCTCCAAGTCCAGCAGAGCAGCGCTCCAAGCCCAGCCCCGGGCGCGACGCAGCAGCGGGAGCCGGCGCAGGGGCCTGCGCGGGCCTGCCGCCAGCCCCCCGGCGGGGAGGGGCGGGCGGGGCCGGGTGGGGCCGGCGGGGGGGGGGGAAGTAGGAGCAAGGAAAGGCGACACCAACACCAACAGGGCGAGGAGATGCGTGGAGGCAAGGGGGGTCTCCCTGTTGGTGTGGTCCCCCCCTCTCCCTCGAGACATCCCCAGTCTCCCGCTCGGGGAAGCATTGTGGACCTCCTCGCTGGAGGTGGGCCCCCTGGTGGTGTTGGTGTCGCTTCTCCTCCCTCCGAGGAAGGGGGGATCGACCCCTGCTGCACGGCAGGGCCGGACCCAAGCGGTGTCTTGGCGACCTCGCGGGCCGTCTTCGTTTCCAGTACGTTGTGCTGTGAAGGCGGGCCGAAGACAGAACGAGGGAAAAGGAAGACGAAACCAAAACGAAAAACACCGTTTAGATTCAGCCCTGCTGCACGACACAGTTCGCGAACGCATTCGGCCTCCCGGCAGGGGACAGACGGCGCTGGCGGGGCTGGCGGAGTGGCAGGGGGCACGAGCCCGGATGAACGGCACGGTTTGCGAGATGCCCGCCGCGGCCTGGCGCAGCCTCCCCGGAGGGGCAAGCGGAGCTGGTGGGGCAGGTGGGGTGGGAAGGGCAGGATCCCTGATGAATAACCACGGTTTGCGAGTGCCTGCCGCGGTCTGGCGGGGCTTGGCTGGAGGCGCAGGCTGCGCTGGTGGGACTGCTGGAGTGAGAGGGTAGGCTGGCAAGAGGAGAAGGAGGAGGAGGAGGAGTGAAGAGGAGGAGACGGACGAGCGGGTGCTAGTCTGAGAAAAAAGAACCTCCGCTCGAGGTGTGGAGGATGGCATACAGTCTGGAGGGTCCCCCCCTGGAGGGGAGGGTGGCGCTGGCGAGACTGGTGGAGTGGGGGTGCAGACAGCGCATGTGAGACTGGTGAGGTGAAAGTCGTGCATGCATGCAGAAGGACGTGTTGTGGGACGCAAAGAGACATACCAATACTTGATGGAAAGGGCGCCAGTGGATCACCTCGTAATTGAAAAGGGGAGGGGGGTGCTCCCAGACCCCCCCGCCCCCTCCCCCCCTTGGCGCTGAAGACGGGGGGGGCGACTTCGGGCCCCACCCCCTTTGGCCAGACAGAGGGGGGGGCGGGCAGGTGGGGAGGCTCTCTCCGCTCCGGAGCGCTGGAGGCTGGGGTGAAGGTGGTGCTTAGGGTAGGGGTTAGGGTCAGGGTAAGGGTTAGAGTAGTGTTTAGGGGTTAGGGTTAGGGCTTAGGGCTAATATTAGAGATTAGGGTCAGGGTAAGGGGTTCGGGTAGGGTTTAGGGGATGGGTTAGGGCATAGGGTTGGGGTTAGGGATTAGGGTCAGGGTTAGGGGTGGGGCTAGGGGTTAGGGGTCAGGTTAGGATTTGGGTTTAGGGTAGGGGTTAGGGTCAAGGTTAGGGGTAAAGGGTAGGGATTAGGGTAGGGGTTAGGGAAGGGCTGGGGGTTAGGGTCAGGGTTTTGGGGTTTGGGTAAGGGATAGGGATTAGGGTCGGGGTTAGGGGTTAGGGGTTAGGGTAGGGTTTAGGGGTTAGGGTTAGTTGTTAGGGTTAGGGTCAGGGATTAGGATTACGGTTAGGGGCTAGGGTTAGGCGTAAGAGGTAGGGTTCGGATTTAGGGTAGGGGCTAGGGTTAGGTGAGGGTAATCGGGGTTAGGGGTTAGGGTTGAGGTAGGGGTTAGGGTTAGGGTTGGGGTTGGGGTTAGGGTCTAGGGATTAGGGTTAGGGTTTAGGGTCGGGGTAAGAGTTAGGGTTTAGGGTTAGGGTTAAGGGTAGGGCTTAGGGTTAGGGTAGGAGTTAGGGTTGGGATTAGGGGTTAGGGTTAGGGTTTAGGCTTAAGGTTAGGGGTTAGGGGTTATGGCTAGGGTTAGGGTTAGGGTAAGGGTTAGGGCTAGGATTAGGGGTTAGGTCCGGGTTAGGGTTTAGGGTAGGGGTTAGGGTTATGGGTTAGGGTGGGGGTTAGGGTAGAGGTTAGGGTTAGGGTAGGGGGTAGGGTAGGGTTGAGGGGTTAGGGTTAGGGCTTAGGGCTAGTATTAGGGATTCGGGTTACGGTTAGGGGTTAGGGTAGGGTTTAGGGGTCAGGGTTAGGGCATAGGGTTTGGGTTAAGAATTAGGGTCAGGGTTAGGGGTGGGGGTAGGGGCTTGGGGTTAGGTTAGGGTTAGGGTTTAGGGCAGGGGTTGGGGTGAACGTTAGGTGTTGGGGTGGGGATTATGGCAGGGCTGTGAGTTAGGGTCAGAGTTTAGGGGGTTGGATTAGGGCTTAGGGTAAGGGTTAGGGCTTAGGGTCAGGGTTAGGGGTTAGAGTAGGGTTAGGGGTTAGGGTTAGGCCTTAGGGTTAGGGTCAGGGATTAGGGTTAGGGTTAGGCGCCAGGGTTAGGGGTAAGGGGTGGGGTTCGGGTTAGGGGTAGGGGTTAGTGTAGGGTTAGAAAGGGGTCAGGATTAGGATCAGGAGTTAGATAGGGGTTAGGGTTCGGGTAGGGGTTAAGGTTTAGATTAAGGGTTTAGGGTAGGGGTTAAGGTGGGGATTAGGGTTTGAATTAGGGGTTAGGGTAGGGGCTTGGGTAGAGAGTAAGGTTAGGCGTAGGGTAGGGGTTAGGGTTAGGAGTGGGGGGGGTAGGGGTTAGGGGTTCGGGCAGGGATTAGGTTGAGGGTGAGGTGTGGTAGGGATCGGGATCCGGAGCCAGGGGGCGGCGTGGCGAAAGGGGGGAGGGGGGACCGAATTTCACGCTCAAAGGGGAGGGGGGGGGAGGTTCCGCCTTTGAAAAGGAGGGGGGGGGTCCGCCGGCGGCGACGGATCGGGAAAGGGGGAGGGTCCGCCGACGATGGAGCGGGAAGGGGGGGGGTCCGCAAACGACGGATCGGGGAAAGGGAAGGGGGGTGGGGGTCCTGGACCACCCCCCTCCTTTGGGTGATCGCGGCGCGCCCTCTATTTCATGTCCTGCTTGGAGGCGCGCGTCCGGCCCGAACATACGGTATACCCACCTTGTAGTATATCGTTGCCCGAGCGGTGAAGCCAGAAAGCGCCCGCCACGACACATATACTGCAAGATTTCTCGGTGCGCGTGTCGCCCCTGGGGGGGCGACGCACACATGGTAGTAGTGTGTTGGGGTGACGCCGATGTTGCTCGAGCAGTGTGCTTGGAATGCAGGCGGAAGAGCTGGGGGAGGAGGATGAGAAGCAGAGGGCCTGAGAAGACAGGAACCCCACTCAGGATGCGCAGGAGAAAGACGCGATGTCGAGCCAGAGGTCCCAGGTTGCAGCCGCCCAAACCATCCGACCCAGGGTCGGCGGCGAGCGAGGAGGAGAAGTGAGAAGGAGAAGGCCTTCTCAGAAGGTTCGGAAGCCCCCCTGGCCTTCTGAGAAGCTGCCTAACCCTTCCCGGAAGCTCGGAAAGCTGGAGGGCTTCTGAGAAGCCCCGCCGCCTTCTGGGAAGGCCGTCTCCTTCTCGCATCCCCCCCTCGCTCGCCGCCGACAGGGGTGGGGCCGAGCGCGGCTCCCCGGTGTTCCACACCAGGTCGTTGCCCACGAGCTTCGCCTCCCTGGGCTCCTGGTCGTTCTCCGCCTGTGCGCGGGCTCGCCACGGCACTCTGCACGCAGACCTCCGCCTGTGCGCTCTTGGAGGAGGGAGGAGGAGGAGGAGGAGGAGGAGGAGGAGGAGGCGGAGGAGGAGGAGGAGGAGGAGGACGAGGGGGAGGCGGGGGAGGAGGGGGAGGAGGCGGAGGAGGAGGAGTCCTGTGCTGGGACGCAGACGGGCACAACAGCTTGCACGATGCTCCCCCCTTGGAGGCGCAGGTCTGAAACGAACATACTCCGAGTTCCTTACTAAGCGTCGGGGGGGCGTCGCCCCCGCCGACAGCCCCACATCGACCCCCGTGGCGGGCAGGCACCTCGCGCCGAAGGCGCTCCGACCCCCGTCGCGGCGCGACGACGAGGCGAGGTTGACCCCCTTCGGGGGGGAGCTGGTACCCCCCCCCACGCTTATTGAGAAACCCAGAGTACAGTACTGACATCTTATAGCATACCATTGTCCAGGCGGCACGGCCGGAAAGCGCCCGCCACCGAGAACTTCCTACCAGAAGATGCCTCGGCGCGACCGTCGCCTCTGGGGGGGCACACGCACAGAGTGTGAGCATGACTGGGCGGCGCCGACGTGCCTTCGGGGCTCTTGGTGGCGATCGTTATGCACCCTGGTGGCCGCAGGGGGGTCTGAACTGGATGGGACCCCAGGAAGTCGGTCAGGACGGGAGGTCGAGGCCAAATCCGTTCAGAATCGGTACCTGGACCCATCCCGGGACCCATCTGGTGCAATGTTTCATCCTGGATCCGTTGTTCACTCCCAGGGCCCGAGAAAACCTTCTCCGAACCCAAAACCTCGAACCTGCCCACCCTTCCCGCTGGCCGGAACCAGAGCTGAGCCCCAGCCAGCTCCAAGCTGGCTCTTCGTGGTGGTCTTCATACATTGGAGGCCTGGAAATTGGCACCAATACCAGCCCAGGGGGTTGCATCCACATGGGGAATCTGATCCTAGATTTCGGTGTTGGTGGTAATGTTTCGGCCACCTCGGAAGCCAGAATATTACCACCATCACCGAGATCGGGATCGCCTCCCCTCGGCGAACACACCGCTCCTCGCCCTCGCCGTCATCGTCGTCCGCCCTTCCCCCTCGCGGGCGTCCTCGCTCTCCTCGTGCTCGCCGCGCTCTCCTTCGCCCTCTCCGCCCGGGGCCCCCGCCGTCCTCGCGGGCCCCGGGAGCCGTCCGCCGAGGCATGGCGGGGCGAAGGGCGCCCGCGGGACGGAGGCCCGCCACGCCGGCCACCGGCGGCGCGCAGGTCCCCGCCAGGGCGCGGCCGAGCCGACGCGCCCTGCCGTGACGGCCCCCCTGCGCGGCGGCTGCCTAGAGGCCCCCCCCCGCTGCCCAGGAACTCGTTTGCCTGCGCGGCAGCAACGGCCTAGAACCGAGCCTTAGGTCGGGCGCGTGCCCCCGCAGGGGGACTTTAAACGGAAAGATTCTCACGACAGATGCTCCAACAGTGCCCAAAACTACTCAAAAAATACTCCCCATACTATTTTTGGACTGTTTTTGGATCTTCCCCTAGTCTCCACCTAGCCTCCTCGCTCTGGGCAGCCCCGCGCAGGCGCGCGCAGCACCCCCTCTTGTTCAGGCCTGCGCAGCAGGCAAGACCAGGTTATCCAAGGGGGGGGGGGGGGGCGGCGGCCCCGACGCCCCGGGTGTTCGGCGGGCCCCAAGATCGGCGGCGAGCCAGGGGGGGGAAACGAGAAGGAGAAGGTCTTCTGGGAAGGCGTCGGGACTTCTCGGAAGCCCCCGCGCCTTCCGAGAGTCTTTGCTCTGTCTTCGGGGAGGGCTTAGGAAACTCCTCAGAAGTCCGGGGAACCTGCGAGCCTTCTGAGAAGGCCCGCCCCTTCTCACTTCCCCCCCCTTGCTCGCCGCCGATAAAAACAACTGTATCTAAGACATCCTCTAGCTGCGACAGAGGTCACGACGGCAGGCTGCTGGCGGTCCTCGGCCCCTGGGGCCGCGGGGCCTCGCCCCAGGGGGCCACAGGGGCCCTCAGGAAACGACTCGGACTGGAAAGGCGGTGCCCAGAAAGAGGTCCAGACCTCTGAGGAGCCGCACTGCAAAAACAAACAACAACTTATCCCAGCAGAGCAACCTAACAGCGATGTGTAGGAGCATATTTGGAAGCATTCCCCTTGAGATTCAGATGAGAATCCAGTTGTAGAATTCTGCTGTCCTCGCAGTCGTAGTCGCATTCGCGATGACAGTCGCAGTGGCCTGCATCAGCCTCAGCCTCAGCCTCAGCCTGCCTCAGCATCAGCCTCAGCGTCAGCCTCAGCCTCAACCTCAGCCTGCCTCAGCCTCAGCCTCAGCCTGCTTCAGCCTCAGCCTCAGTCTGCCTGCAGCCTCGGCCTCGGCCTCAGCCTGCCTCAGCCTCAGCCTGCCTCAGCCCCAGCATCAGCCTCAGCCTGCCTCAGCCTCAGCCTGCCTCAGCATCAGCCTCAGCCTGCCTCAGCCTCAGCCTCAGCCTGCTTCAGCCTCAGCCTCAGCCTCAGCCTGCCTCAGCATCAGCCTGCCTCAGCCTCAGCCTCAGCCTCAGCCTGCCTCAGCCTCAGCCTCAGCCTCAGCCTCAGCCTCAGCCTGCTTCAGCCTCAGCCTCAGTCTGCCTTCAGCCTCGGCCTCAGCCTGAGCCTGCCTCAGCTTCAGCCTCAGCATCAGCCTCGGCCTCGGTCTCAGCCTGCCTCAGCCTCAGCTCAGCCTCAGCTCAGGCCTGCCTCAGCTCGGCCTCCCACCAACTGCTTCAGCCTCCGCCTCAGTCTCCTTCAGCCTCAGCCTGCAGCCTCAGCCTGCCTCAGCATCAGCTCACTCTCCTCAGCGCTCGGCCTTCGGCCTGCCTCAGCCTCAGCCTGCCTCAGCCTCAGCCTCAGCCTGCCTCACCTCACCGCAGCTTATCAGCCTGGTTCACCTCAAGCCTCAGTCGCCTTCCAGAGCCTTCGGCTCAGCCTTAGCCTGCCTCAGCCTCAGCCTGAGCCTGCTTCAGCCTCAGCCTCAGTCTGCCTTCAGCCTCGGCCTCAGCCTCAGCCTGCCTCAGCTTCAGCCTGCATCAGCCTCAGCCTCAGCCTTAGCCTGCCTCAGCCTCAGCCTCAGCCTGCCTCAGCCTCAGCCTGCCTCAGCCTCAGCCTCAGCCTGCCTCAGCATTCAAAATGTGGCCCGGGAATGGAATTCTGGGAACTCGAAGAACACGAAGTGGCCTATAGTTGGCTCCGGGCATTCAAAAACATGCCCAGGAATGGAGTTCTAGGAACTCGAAGACCTCGAAGTGGCCTACAGTTGGCTCCGGGCATTCAAAATCATGCACAGGAATGGAGTTCTGGGAACTCGAAGACCACGAAGTGGCGTACAGTTGGCTCAGGGCATTCAGAATGTGGCCCGGGAATGGAGTTCTGGGAAGTGGAAGAGCACGAAGTAGCCTACAGTTGGCTCTGGGCATTCAGAATGTGGCCCGGGAATGGAGTTCTGGGAACTCGAAGAGCACGAAGTGGCCTACAGTTGGCTCCGGGCATCCAAAATGTGGCCCGAAAATGGAGTTCTGGGAACTCGAAGAGCACGAAGTGGCCTACAGTTGGCTCCGGGCATCCAAAATGTGGCCCGAAAATGGAGTTCTGGGAAGTCGAAGAGCACGAAGTGGCCTACAGGTGGCTCCGGGCATTCAAAATCATGCACAGGAATGGAGTTCTGGGAACTCGAAGACCACGAAGTGTGTGACTGTTTGCTTAAAACGAGCCCGGTTCTCGCCTGTCCGGCTCCCGCCCAGACCCCCCTGGGGAGTCATCAGATGCTCTCTTTTGACCCCATTAGAAACCTATCAGTCTTCGCTGTTAGGTGAAAAACACAACGGGCAGGGCGATACGCAAAAGCAACAGCACCCGAAAAGCGGATAGCAAGAGGTTTGACGATCCAGATTCCCGATCTAGTCGCACTTCTGGCGGGCAATCCACTGACCCTGTAGGCGTGCGCGAGAGGGTCCTGGGGTGGTCGTCAGATCCTGGGAGGTATCTTCCCTGCGGCCAAGCCCACTTGCCCGAGGCGAATCGATCCAGGTCGTAATCGAATCGAACGCGAGCCCATCAGAGGAGGAGGAGGAGGGGGAGTTGGAGAAGGAGGAGGAAGAGGAAGCAGAAAAAGAGGTGGAGGAGGAGGCCTTTGATGTCCTTCCTCACCAGGGGTGTAGTTTATGTACTGCATGTTGGAACCTCCGACCTCCGCCCTCTCGACCCTCACCTCGCCACCGGTGTTCGGGGCTCAAGGACGCCTTTGAGTCTCGGTCAAGGCTACCAAGGCCCGACGCAGAAAGCAACGTCAGCGGTGCGCCATAGCGTGCCACATATCATTGCCCACCAGAAATAGCGCGCTGATATACAAGCAAACCGAAGAGGCGAGCTGTGGAAACCACAACGATAATCATTCTCGGCATCTACTGCATCGAGGCTGCTCACCTACGCCGACAAACCGGTCGGTGGCAGAGCCAGTCAGGCTCCACAGACCAGGTCGTCGTGACGACTAAGGTTGTGGATGCCATGGCATTGGTCACCCGAACAATCCGATCATTGAGTTAAACTGTGTTTTAAATTGTCGGAAAATGTTATACAAATGCTTAAAACAAGTTTTTTTTTACATTTTAAGGCATGATGCAATGTGTTCAAACATCTGGAAATGATTTTGCAACACGCTTCCTCTACACTGATCGTCGTCCACGAGACTGAAAGGATGAGAAACTTGTTTCTAGTCCGCGGGCGCCAGGTGGTCCGAGGCAGTCAGGCACCGCTCAGGCAAGCGGCGGCGGGGTGCCCCGGGAGCGAAGGAGAGCGGAGCGCGAAGGAGAAGGGCGAGGAGCCCGCTGAGACCACGAGAGCTGGCGCGGGGATGCCGTGGTAGATCCTGCAGCTGTTGAAGGCCTGGAAATGGGCACCAGCACCAACACAGGGGGTTGCCTCCCCAGGGGGAATCTGATCCTAGATTCCGGTGTTGGTGGTAATGTTTCGGCC